TAATAAAATAACAAAGCTTTCAACAATCTTCATTAAAATTAATAATTAATCTATACATACTTCCTTCTGGTTACTATTGCAAATTTATAATATTTGAATGCGTTAAATAATAATTCAATAAATAATAATACACAAATGATATTTATATTATATTATGATTACTTACAATGTGAATGTCCATATTTCTCTAGAATATAAATATTTTTACATAATCTACACTCATACAAATCAGACTTGAATTTTATATAATGATTTTCCTTATTTATATGCTTGCTACTATACGTAATTAAAAATAAAAAATATCACTATGTTAGAGAACTGTATGAATGCGCAAAACTGAAGATATAAATAATTGTACAATTACTATGAAAAAATATACTTGTCTTTTGAAATTATAAATTTATAAATTGAAACTTATAAATTTCCTTTTGAAATTAAATTGATCCCAAATAAGAAAGAAGTTACATAAAGATAGTAGATAATGAAAATTCTGATTTGGAATCTATACTTAATTCTGTAAATAAATTATTTGAAATAAAAAGAAAGACACATGTTTATGTTACTTTAAGGCAAAGAAATTTACCGTTCTCCCATATTCGAAGCAAAATATCATAGTTTAAGTGAAGTGGACGATTCAATATAATTACAGCATATTTATATTGTGAAGAACATTCAAATATCTTAAGAGGATCCCACTTTGTTACATTCAAGTTTGTATTATCCTGCATTGCTGGATGTAACTTAACTGTCTTGAAATCTAAACAAATAGTTCACAGCTAGGTTATAACTCACAAATTTTTTAATTTATGATTTAAAGTATTCAATCACTGTTACTCAAATTTTTAGTTATTGAGGCCTTATGTAACTACAGAAAAATATTTAAGTAGAATTAAATATACAACATTCAGCAGTTATGTTTGAACTTACGTAATAATTGCCGGAATCTATTTGTGACGAAGCTCAATTTCAAAATATTTCTTCTAAGGTTGCACATAACGTATATATTCACATAAATGCCTACATTAAATGAGATAATAAAAATTAGAGAGTAGAAAAGATAAATTTATCAGTATCTGTATTTCAAATTTCAAGGTCATTGAAACCATTTATGATAAATGTTTTTTCTAAACCTTTCCATAGAGACAAGCAACGTTTAAAACATACATCAATTCTTTAAAAAAATAATTAAATTTATTGTTTGTACTGAAGAAATATGACAATGTCATTAACTTTTTTTTAGCTTTTTGTACATTTAATTACTCCGATATTTAAATAGTACGTATTAATTATGTCTTTATCTCATAACCATCTCAAAAAATATTTTTATATTTTTATTCTTCTTTGCATACTTAAAAAACGTCTGTCTCTCATCACTATATTTTCTTATATTTCTTTATTATTTTCTAACATCGTTCATCATTTTGTCATTTCTTGAATTGCAGTATTCAATTTATGTAGCTATTTAAAATTGAATGAAAATTTTATTAATTTTAATAATTATGGACATAACTGTACTATTCAGTTTGGTAACCGAGAGAAACAAAAGAGTGTCATATTTTATAATAAATTATACAAAACTATGGTAATCACAATTCAATATCAAAGGAATACTATATTAATTAAAAAATAAGC